AGCCAACCCCCCCCCCCCCCCCTGGACCCCCCCGCGTGTCATTCTGGCAGGTATCTAATGGCGTCGCCGTTGGCTACTACACAGACCAGGTATCTAACGCCAGTCAGCCAGTGAACCAGGCCAGGTAGTACCGTACTATATATAACAATAGGAAGTGTATGTACACTAGCTGTAAGTAACGAGTACAGTATAGGCAGAAATGTTAAGGCTTCGGGGTGCGATATTAGATACGCGATAGCGATAACCGCGATAGTCGTTGCTGTGCACGTATTATCCGTTAGAGGGATCGACTCTCGAATGGTCCGATCGTAGTAACGTTTTGCGGAAATGGTCAGCGATATTATCCTGAATCATCCTTAACGAGTATCCATGGCCATGCCTGGGCTAACAGTATCACTATAGCCCTGTCGTTCCCTATTGCGTTCCATTAGCTTCCATGCGGCCTATTCCCGTTCTAAAACGGAGAATCCTCATCTCCGTGATATTGAGCGTTCGTCGACTTTACTTCCTGTATTTCAATACATCGAGAAACTCCATATCGTACTCATACCTGTTTTGTATAGAAGTGTAGAATTTCGGAATTTTTGTACGTGACGGTACAATATTTTGAGCTGTCGAACCTCGGAGTATCCGACTGTCTCCGTATAAATGGACAATCGAGTGTCAAGGATGAAAATCTATTTTCACCGGAAGTATAGGAGACAAACGAATTCTCCGAGAGAATCTAACTGACACGAGATGACGTAGTACAGTGCGAGATGAGGATCCAGGAGTGAGAAGATGAGGGAAAAGAAGTATATCGGTATAGGCATAGCTTACCTTCTCAGAGATCCGTTCAAACAAACTCACCAAGACGGATACCTCGATCCGTTAGATTTACGAGGGTCCGTTGGGGATCGGCCTTAACGTTTCTGATATTATCCATATATCCGTTTATTTATTGGCTTTCGATTTCTCCGGGAATAAACATTGAGAACTGGGATTCATGTTAATGCTTAAATCCACATTGAACACCACATCCGGTTGTGGTCTACACGTAAACCCGAAGCCGAACTCCTCTCGCTCGTCCGTACCGCCGAATACATATATCTGACCTGAATCTAGGTTGTGTTCCGATATAAGGCTATAGACCTTGCCGGTAACTTCGGCGTTCGGAAAGGCGATGGAATTATCTCACATGACGTGAACGCAACCAGCCCAGTCCACAGCGCTCCCGGTGTTGGCTGTTTCTAACAGTGAAGCTTAGGTGGCGGTGAATCCAAAGGTAAGGCTAGGTTAGTGCGATACTGTTTGTAAGAGGGTAGCCAACGTCTATGAAGGATGGGATGGGTTAACAACGTGATCACGGTTCAAGCACTCCCCTAGGATCGCCACATCAACCTCCACTTCCGCTGTACCCTTAGTATCTCACGCTCTCTTACTTCATCCCACGAATCTTACCGCTAATATCTGCCATAGTTCTCTTTGCGATATTCCCTAGGACTTCACGTTGAACGAATTACCAGTGATACGGATATATGGAGGTTAGGTTAGGTTTTTAAAAGGCGACACGGGTAGGTGCGTATATAAGTTGAAAAATCCCGTACGGCTTTTAGATGAAAACTTGAAACAGCCATGGAGGTACGGGAAGGCTGAAAATATGAATGGACGAGGAGGTCGATGTCATAGCTTTGAATTTACCGATCTTCTTTCCGCTTAAGAGCTTTCTCACGTACGAGGATCCTTTCGTGAAGTTTGCTCTTCAAATAAACTTTGACAAGCCCCTATCCTCATGGGCTGTCTCGTCGGGCTATGTAAAGGCACGAAAAGCATGCAGCCAAACACGAAGGAACTTTTCCACATAGTTCACGGCTTGCTATAGCATAATCGAGAATCCGTGTTTCATGATCCGTGCGTCTCGTGCGCGTCATCCGACGGGTGTATATGTAGGGTGTATAGTATATTTTCAATAATAAAATACAAATTTGATATTCATAGGCACTGCTCTGAAGCTCTTGGTAATTGCGCTTTATTAACGAGCCCGAGGTATACAAAGCCTGGTTATTACTTCCATGTCATTCGGTACTCATCGTCATCGTAGGTTAATTAGCCAAACGTCATTGACGCACACGGTGCGGGTATAGGCAGATGCGTATCGGAATTTCAAAAGCCCGGGATCAGGCACGTGGTCCTTGTTTGGTAGAGTCCATCGATCCCCATGTTTTAGATCGATATCGATGTGGACCCGTAGAATCAAATCAATTTGATATCATGCCGGTGGTATGGAGATTGCTGGTGCAGCTGGTCAACGAAGTTGGCTCTACGCTGGCTAAGCCCACTATTCTCTGTTGCTGATTGTCAGTAAAATCAGGGTGACCAATGAAACGCGAACTGAACGATAAAACGCCTAGCTCGCTGAAATTCCATTTCCCGGATAATTCTTGCGCCAAAGCGTAATTGCCATTGAGCTATACTGGCCGAAGTCTATGACCGGATGTCGATGGGACCTTTTATCCTTGTCAAACTGGCCTTCCGAGTCCCTGGAAAATCTATGTGCTTGTCTACCGTACTATTGGCTTGTATACGGACTCCTATGACAGCTCGTAATTGCAAGCGGTTCGACGGCCACGCAATAACCGCGAAGTACATATTTACTGGGATTCCACTTGAAGAGCAGGTGATTGCTTTACGCTTAATTACACGCTCGCGCGATTCCGCCACCGTCGATGCCCACCGAATGCCCAATTGTCATTGGCAGCGTTTTTAGGGTACTCGGGAAATTTTCGAAACTTCCTCCAGGCCATTTTACTTGCACTCTGATAGCTAGTTGGCCTGCAATTCGGCTACAGTAACAAACGTTAAATACTAGACTGATCTTTTTTTTGGATTAGCTGATAGCCCAACATGTGCACGTTTACGTACTATCGTGAGCAAAGTTTTTGCTTTGTGTATCGAATATTGTGGTTCGACTAGTAATTTTGTACTGGAATGTCGAATGCCATTGAACTAGTAATAAACAGACTGGTTATAGAATATCGGACTATTTCTAACTGGACTGTACACAGGCTTTTCGTGTATCCCAGAATCTAGAACCATGTTGGTGAAACAATATTTTTTTATATATTTTTACTACCTACGTTTTATCATTATTTTATCTAGTATTTACTGAACGTTCGCCTAATTTTTACAGGCTCCACTGTATCCTTGTACAGTCCTACTGTGATTATAATTATTAATCCTTAAAGTCGGATACCGGAAGTTTCGCCTGAGACATCACATGCAACAAAGATGACTGTAATGCCTCTTAGAACAGCTTACAAGTTATTTGCATGAGTCAGTAGGAGCCGAGGAGTGACGCTAGAAACTCGACAGAGGAAACTTCGAGCGATGCGACTTAAATATTTTGAGATTGGTACTCGAGTGGTCCAACAGAGAGATTCCTCTTTAAATTTTTTGCCAAGCTTTCGTATATATTACATTTTTTAAATATCAACGACGCCAAAGGGAAACGCAATATCATTCAATTCATATTACGAAACACGGTCGTATCAAAAAAAGATAAGAAACTGAGAATCTCTGAGAGATTTAAAAAATATATACTATTATTATTATTATTATTAATTATACAAATAGAAACGAACTTAGTCTAGATTTTCATGGAGATATCCGACAAAGCCATTCGTATGTTGATTGGCAGAAGAAAATCTTTGTCTTCCTGTTAATTTAAAGAAACTGGAGACTGACATTCATGGATGAATTATTATCTAAAAGTAATACCGACTACTTCCCCTCCCACCGCCCCCTTCAAATTACAGTCCTAATACAATATTAAAATTACATTAAAGTCATAATACGTAAATGAAGAATCTATCATAAAAATACGTAGGGCTGCAAAGTGCATCGGGTAGAGTCTCGTGTGTAATATTAGAAAATAATGGGAAAAATGATAGAATGATAAAATGGCACCTGGCAGAAATAGTACCAAGAAATAGGGTAGGCGTTTTAGTATAATTATCAAGAGTGTATGCAAATTATCATGTGCATAATTACATAACTCTAGCAATGTAAAACAAGCGAGGGTACTGTATGGAAAAAAAAATATGTACACGCTGTACGGCAAAATAAAATGATGAACGATGTAGCAGGTAGCCATTGAAAAGTTACAGGGTGATAGAGTAGCCCTTAAAGCGGAGCGTTATCGCGTTAACCAAAGGGAAATTGCATTCGGTTGGCCATTGGGTTTGCTGCACACTTTTTGTCTACCATACGTTACTCATTCTACGTATGTATCCGGTTATTCAGTCCAAACGTACCAGGCGAACGTGGTTTCACTGTGAGAATCGAATGGACGATTCAACTTCAGATGATGCGTTTCAGCTGAATGACCCGGTCTGTATCCACGCTGTGTAATGGAACGTCAATTCCTGGAATTACAGTATATTTTTCATAGTCGATGCAATTTTCGAAATTCTGCCGCATACGCCACTGGTGCCGGAAGGGTCAATTTTGGTGGTAAATTTAGGAATAGTATAAAAGAAGGGAATTACTTATTGCGTGGGAGTACAGCTAAGGAAACGGACGCCGATTATAAAGGCGGCCAGTCGGTTCATTGGCTGCTCGTTTCTATTAGTATATTGGCGGACCTAGTGGCCACGTCGATGGAGATGGTCCGCTGTGCTCTGATGCGCTGTTCGGCTCTGGTGTCTGGCTTTCATGGTTCTTCACGGGTGATTACACGTGGTCTGTGTAAAGGATGCTTCAGGGTGCGGATGCTGTAGCACTGGATGCTTAATACGTAGCGGGTTTGCGGCGAGTAGCTGTTATATTTGTACCTGGATATATCCAGGAGGTAACCGCTCGTGAGCTGAAAAAGAAGATACGTGGTGAAAGAAAGTCAGTAAGCTGATGAGCAAAGCTACCCCTGGCGCAGGAGTGTCATTCGTTAAAGAGAAAAAAAGCATTGATATTGGATTGTTTAAAAGCAAGCGTGGTTGTGAGTGAAAGGGAGAAAAAAGACACCGGTACCAAGTATCTCTTTGTGTGAGAGAGACAATACAGAAAAAATAAGTGCAGTAACAAAGGGAAAGAGTTTATATAAAGGGAAAGTGATATCCATAGGGAGGAAGTGCAGTGGGACTCGGAGTGACAGGAGTAGTATGGTGCACTACGGGTGTGCGAAAACTGACAGCGGAGGTGTCGAGTGCTTCATCGACTTCACACGACAAGAGTGAGACAGAGTTGATAACGGATAGAGAATAGATAACAGAGGATAGGACATAGGATGGAATTGAGGAAGGAAGTCAAGAGGGGTGAAAGAGTGAAGTAGCGTCGGTCGGGTATCCAGACACTCGACCGTCATACCCATTGGAGCAAGTAGGCTGGTTGCATTGAGAGAGGCAGGGAGGAACAGAGAGAGAAACAGTGGAGTGTACTCCAACTAAGAGAGAGTGTGCCAAAGCAAACCTCGAGTGCTTCATTGAGTTCTGGGAGAAAGCTGTCCATTTTCCTCTCGGTCCCTCTCCCGCTCAGGCAGCCTCGCTTCTTTTGCTTCCTTCCCTTTGGTAGCCGATAGAGAGCGAATGAGTGCGAGAGAGAGAGAGAGAGAAAGGGAGAGTGAAAGATGAAACTTTAATTGACAGTGAGAGAGAAAGGTGTGCAAGAGCGAGAGGATGGAATGAGTGATGTTGGGGCTGAAGTTTTGGGCTGGTAGGCTGTAAAATCTTCTGAGGGATTGGTCAAAGAATTTGACTTTTGTGGCGTAGACGTTCCAAGAAAACAGGGAGGAGAGAGATATAGGGAGCAGAGCCAGGAAGCTGTTATCTGAAGCTCTGGGAGAGGATACGATAAGCTCATCCTGATTTTTCACCTTATGAGGACAGAGGAGAGATCCAGCCCGAGGAGCAGGAGCTCCGTCGGGGACGGAAGTCAAATCGACGCCATGACAAGGTTCATCGAAGTCCTGGCTATTCTGGGATCATTTCTTCTTCTACTGATCACTCTGCCGTTTTCCTTATGCTTCGCTTTCAAAGTCGTGCAAGAGTACGAGAGGGCTGTCGTCTTCAGGATGGGACGTCTACGTGGAGAACCGCAAGGACCAGGTGTGCTGTCCATAGACGTTTACCATTTCCTTTAAGTAAAATCCCCGTCTGTAATTTCACAGAGGCACAAAACAATCACACTGAGACCCATTCTCGGTATTATTACATCGCTCTCTTGCATTATACCAAAAGGGAAATGGCTCTTTGCGAAATAATTATCCTGTTAGATAGAAGCGGACAGGATAATTGCCAGGAACTTCTGGCATACTTGAGATACCGTGTTAAAGTTTTCTGTCCAATGATTAACTTCCGGTGCTTTCCTGGCACAAAATTCGTTCGAAGCGAGTCTATCGACCCCGAGCATTACAGTGACAGTTGTAATTGTTGTGGCATCCCTTTTGACATATTCCCACTGTACAGTCCTGAGAAAAAATAAATAATAATAATAATCACCGTGTGAATCTACTTCAGGAACGTTCTTCATATTACCCTGCGTGGATAACTGCGTTCTGGTCGATCTCCGCACGGTATCCTTTGACGTGCCGCCTCAAGAAATCCTTACCAAGGATTCCGTAACAGTCAGCGTAGACGCAGTGGTCTACTACAGGATCAAGGAACCGTTGAACGCAGTAGTGAAGATAGCGAATTATAGGTGAGAGTACCGGAACCGTCCTGAGTCCTCTTGGCTGTCCTATTAGAGGATACAATGTTACCTCATCATAGTATGGAGACCGAATCGACCTTTTTACATCGAGTGTCTGCCAATTATACGAACTAACGAACATCTACAGCTTTCCAATTAGGCAAAACGAGCGGCGCGTAATCAAAATCGTTTCACGGCGAGATGACTCGCTCAACTCTGCCAATTACGTCGGAAACCTAACAGAACAAGATCCTCGGTCAGGATTCCCGTCCACGTTCCTCAGTATGCCAATATCCACGAATCCCATAGCAATTCGCCCTAATTAGGGATACAGTCGATCCCAATCACCCTATCGGTATGAAATCTGTGGTCGCCTTTCAAGAGTCCGCAGTATCCATCATTATACGTGGCCTTATGGGTCTCTAAATAGGGCAATAAACCCAGTCAATTTAATGATCCGAAACACACGAGTGTAATGCCAATAAACTGTTTACGTTCTAAGCGATAAACTAATCCAGAAATAGCCACTGCATTTCGTGCATTAGGAATGCAATATTCTCCATAAGCTACCAGTACAGGCGGGGCTTTGCACTTCTCTCTGCATATTGGAAAATAAATGCAGGGGATCCACGTGGTAAATTAATCCTGGCAATTACGCAAGCGGATTATTCGATAATTTCCTGGCTGTGTTTCACTACTATTTCCAATGAATAAATATCACTTTGCTCCTGTTGGGATACGTTGTAGTCATTCGACCAGACTCCTGGCGGCCAGCACTCTTCGCACTGTACTCGGGACTCGTAGCCTCGCCGAGATCCTCTCCGAGAGGGAAACCATATCTCACACCATGCAGGCATCCTTAGACGAGGCGACTGATCCTTGGGGCGTTAAGGTCGAACGTGTCGAGATGTGAGTATCGACCTTCTACAATGTAACGTATGTATAAGAGGTTGAGAGACGAGTAAAAAAAAAAGAGAATCCTGCGTCTTTAATACATCACTTACTTGACAGGCTTATCGTCCTGTTTACACCCTAGAAAACTTATCCTCGTCTTCTCTCGCCATCCCTTAACGACTTGTCCTCGCTATCCTGCCTTCCTGACGTTCCTGTACTACGAGAGAGGAATCGCTGATGATGCTTCATGTCGTATACGGGCTCTGATGCAATGTCTTTTGAGGTTAGATAATCTAGCCGCTGCTCTAGATACTCGTCTCCTTGGTTACGTCACTACTCCAGGCGTTCCTGATTTCCTCGTTCATTTTGCTTCTTTACTCCACGCTGGAAAATACAATTAAGTCGGTCTTTGTCGGTAAAGAAGTAAAGATGCAATGTAATGGTACTGAAATACGTAAAGACTTTACAGCCAATGAAAGCTCTTCGTTGATTCGTGTCCTGAGTTTCTACGAGGAAAGGAAATGATTGGAAATCTTGTCGGAAATCAACGAGGAAATACCACGAGATCCAGCAACGATTTATCCCAAGGGATTCGAAGATAGCCGAACATTCCGTTCGTCGGTTGATTTCAATGTGGAATTTTACGACCTTGCAGAAAGGACGTACGACTTCCGGTACAATTGCAACGGGCCATGGCGGCGGAGGCCGAGGCAGCTAGAGAGGCACGTGCAAAAGTGATAGCAGCCGAAGGAGAAATGAGAGCCTCGCAAGCATTGAAGGAAGCCAGTGACGTCATCTCTAGAAGTCCCGCAGCACTTCAGGTTATTATACGGACAGTCTCGATTCATTCGATTCTCCCTAGAATTTACAATATTGTTCTCGTGAATTTTACAGGTGCGAATTGAAGTCTTTTTATGCATGAAAATCGAATGAGAACTGCAAATAATTATAGTTATTCAAAATTAACCGAAAGTCGGTTATACTAAAGTAATCAAATGGATGAGGCAACTTTTCATGGTACATATATCAGTTTCGAATAGCCTGGTGTAACGTAGAAATATAAAGTTTTCACGGGGTATAAAATCTAGTATAATAATTCCATCCACAGAATATATTTACACGAAAAATCTTCTTCAAAACGCTTCAAGGATAATACCAAACTTTCCACTAGCTGTCGAAAATCCGGCTCGCGCGAATATAGACTTTTTTACTGATACAATTTACATTTCCAGCTGAGATACCTGCAGACACTGAACAGCATTTCGGCCGAGAAAAATTCCACGATAATATTTCCACTTCCAGTGGATTTGCTCGCGCCATTTCTCAGTCCTGTACGTCAACTCAACCAGGAATCTCTTCAACAGACAAGCCGACCGGAGCGTTTCCCATAAATCGTCAAAATTTTACAATATTTAATGAAACACGGAAAAAATATATAATTGAATTTAAATACTACTCCAAGGCAATCTTAAAATCTTAACTTTATTACTAACCTCAAAAAATCGATAGCCGTACAATCGATACGGAAAAGAAAATCGAAGCCACACAACACGCTACATCAATAGCACAACTGTACCATCTCAAGTTAGAGCTACCAATCTATTAATTAGTTCAGAGAATACTGCAGCAATGTTGTGACTGTACATAACGGAATTGCAGTGTCGCAGGTGCAAGCTCCACTCTAGAACTTGGTGATAGACCTCAAGGAGAACACTGCAACATTTCTACCAGAATGCATCTATTCACTGAGCTAACAGCTGTAACCCTTGCAGAAATTAATTGTATCCTAAATGCAACAAGATGAATAGTAATCCTGTGTAGTAATAATTCGTGAATTTATTTAAGTAATTGTAGAGTCAATAAAGAAAGTTAGTATCTCGAACGACAATATCAGCTATGTTCATGTAATTCATCGATTACATCGTCGATCTCGAGCATTGTCTGGTATGCGTCATGCATAAAAATGTTAAGGTTAGGAAAGTTACCGTATGGAAGAACCACGATGTTGACAGGTGTTTACGCATCGTTGCGTTTACTCGAGCATGCCTTCCATTGCCGTAAACATCCTGATTCCGTAATCTAAATCAATTTGATTTACGGATTTTCGTTAGATTCCGCGTGTTACGTTACTGTGGCGCGTTAGTGCCTGCCGCGATGCTTGTGCTATCTCTACAACGGTTACCGGTACGTCGACACAGAGCGTAGGTTACTGCTGGCGCTATTTGGGCTACGTAAATAAATATGACTGACGGGCGTTCCCCTTTGCAAACTTGATACAAATTTAAATAACGCCACTGTAAGCCGTACGCGAAGTCGGAATTAGGAATTTCGAAACTACCACTGCAAGATGTCAACAAACTGTTTTAGTTCTCGAGTCGGGCACAGAGGGCTGCTCGAAGAGTTAGATAATCTCGACATAGGGATAATAAAATTCCCTAAGGTTTTTATGGGGAATTTTTTGTTCGTCCATCGCAATCTTGACATTTAAAGAGAATTCTTAATACGGTTCAAGTAGAATTTAATTATTAAATAAGAAATATAACAAGAATGTTTATGTCAAAGGAGCAAGTTATTATCCTTATATTATTTTTCATTTATAACATCTTTTATTGTTTCTCTTATTTTAATCCTCGCTCTTTTTGTGTACTTATCTTCTTGATTTCTGAATCTATTCACAGCGGCAACTTAACCTAACTTACCAGTTAACTGATTTATTGATTGACCAACAATTTTATTAATATCTAAGGATATCAGAGGAATGACGTACGATGCCCGGAGCGATATCGATTTTGATCTGTATCTCTGTGATATTGAATTGTCCCGGTAAATTGAAAACAGCAGGTCGCATGCATACAGATGGCCAGCTCAAAAAACATGAGTTTCCAACGGTCTGCAGCGAACGTGTTGGCCGCCATGTAAATTCAATTACCTAATGACGGGAAAGGTGAGTTACCGATCAATCCAATTTTGCTGACGCCACCGTGCGCCGGTATATAGTTAATCTGCTTCTTGAAAAATACAGATAGCGGTGACCTACGCCAGGAAAAAGTAATTACTTGAGAAAGCATGAAAAATGGAAGAAAAAAATCAGGGAACATCATTGCCGTATATAGAAACAGTGGAATTGGAACATATGTATGAAGTAACTTGGGTTCGACTTTCTGTACTAATCGTGCTAATTCAACATAGCCGAAGACTCGAGAATTCAGTGAAAAATGATGGAGTCAAGGTGGTTGAAATATTTAAGGACCTTTAAGTATCCTGGATAAATTATGCAGTAAGGAAAGAATCCTTCGTATGGAGCATACGTGTTCTGTAAAAATATTATATGTTATATATTACGAATACACACGCACAATACACAGGGTTATTCTGATGCCTGAAAGCCATGTGTTTTCGATACGTATATACGATATAAGGAAGCATCAAAATGATAAACGCAGCTATTAAAAATTTAACTATTCAATGTAAATCAGCAGTGCTGTTTCCATTTGAAATGGTAATGACGTAACGTGAGCTATGGAAAAGCAAAAAATAACGTTTGGGTTTAAAAAAAAATATCATTGTCATATTAAATCAAAGTAATTCCAAACTCCGTCCACGTACAGTGGATCGTTACAGGGCTGTGCAGCAATTTAAAACAACCCTACAAGTACTCTAAAGTCTTCGAGCCAAAACTGGTGTTCAAGTGCAATAGCAATTTAGTCAAAAGTGTATATATACGTATATATATATACACACTGTTCTTGTTAACATTAAGAGAAAATGAGTATACTGTTGGAGAGCAGAGGGTAGCCAGAGAGATGAGAGTAACAGAGGTGCTCTAGAAACGAGAGAGAAAGAGATATAAAAAATTGGTAGAAAATCTAAGAAAAGGAAGCGAAAGCCCAAGAAAGGAAGTGAACACAGTGAGAAGGGAAAGACGTAAAGGGTGGTGTACCGGCCATTATTCCGATGATATTGCAGGGAATTAACGGTCGCGTTATGCAAAAAGCTACCATTATCATATATTAAAGAGAACTAGGGTGCAGAAGGGTGCCCGCTAGCGTTATTCATCGCAAAACAAGCGGGTCAAGCTTTTCTAGGGTCCGCGATGCCCTTTGCAACCCTTCGAGACACCCTTGCGGCTTTCATTCAGCCAAATTACGTATATGCATTGAAGGTAGAGGCGAAAGCGATAACTCCGGTTGCAGGCGGCTGCCCATTGTTTTTGCACCACGGAACACCCTTGGAATTTCCGGGCAATCGAATTTCTCTCGACCAGCAGCAACAGCACCGCTAACGCCGCCATACTCTTCTCGCTGCTCCGTCTGGATTTATGGGCGACAGGAGAGTGGACCAAACTGAAGCAAGGAGCAAGCTGAACATATAAGTGTATATATATATATATATATATATATATATATATATAGTGTACGTATGTATACACCATGTATTATAGATAATCGAAGAAGGTAAAGGATAACAATGTCCGGCGAAGCAATTCAATGTACACAATAGCGAATCGCGGCTGTCCTGGCTAATTCTCGTCTGATCGCTATTCGAGCACTTAAGCCATTGAAGGAAGATATATACACGTAACCAGTTTAGCAATCTGGCAGCAGAGGACCCTGTTCTAGTACTCTGTTCCTGGGTAGGAAGCAACCAATGGCTAGTTAACCTCCTGCCCCCGACTACCACTTGGTTCAGTGGCTCCCCGACCACCGTCAGACCAAAATGGCTATGGATAGTACCCTCCTTCCAGAATTATCGTTTCTGGTATCGCGCCGCTTGGGATTAGCGATTTTCACTGGGTAAAGCAATCGATGCTGGAGGGTGGAACGGGCTCCCGTCTGATCCACGGCGTATTCGAATTTGTAACGGAAGCCTCTATCCATCCGAATGGTTCAGCCGATAAAACCAACGAACCGACGAACTTGTAAAGTCACTACGAAACCCGTGAAAAGTTCTCGTAGACGAAGCCATCTTATGTATCAAGGATATATGTTCTAAGTCAAATTGGATTAAGGGAGTCGATTAAACCAGCTACGGTGGATTTCAAGTTTCTATGAGATTTCGAAGAAATTTACTCAGTCTGCACGTGGCCCTAGACTGAAGTTTATTCTAGAATTCAGTATGGAAGAAGAGGCTTTCAAGGAAAGTTAACGAAATTCCAGAGGTGGGATACGTGAGTGCCGTAACGTGCGTTCCCGGGACTAAATGACTCGTCGCCTTAATAAAAAGGAAGTCAGCAGAGCGCGAAAGGGTGGTTAGAAGGTGATAGGATGAAAGGGAGGAAGGGTCGGTAAGGGTAGATAAGGAGATTTTGGGGAGTAGAGCCTTGAGAAAGGAGAGCGAAGGATTCGTTCCTTGGTTTTGCTGGTGCTGATGGCCCTTCTGTTACATGGGTACTGATTCTGCTGATGATGATCATGCTCGTGGCTCACGTGCGCAAGGTCCTGGATGAAATAGTACGAGTCCCGCTCGAATATTAGGGAGATCGAGGGAGTCGGTACTTGGTAAGCTTACCGGAAGTCTTTCGGGTGCTGACGTCGCTTTAGGAAGGTTGAGATGAAGTGGTGGGAAAGAGGGGAGGTGTAAAAGGGTGGGAGCCGAATCAGGCTGCGTGGAAAAGGTGGCGGAGGTCGCAGGGGGCGCCCTGGAGGAAGAATGAAAGGAGGTTACTGCCACTGGGTTTCATTATGCAGCCTCTTAAAGTTGGCGTAACTCCCATTGGTCGTAAATATGAGTTACGACTGGCCGAAATAGCGCTGCGTACCTACCATGACTCCGGGACACATATGCGTATACAGTTGCTGTGCCTAGGAAATTATTTATTTTCCTAGGGGCCGCGACTCTTTCTTCGACCTAGTCCTCCCGCCTCTTTGTCTGTTCTCTTTTGGCAATCCCCATTCCCCGGCTCTGTACCTACTTCGTCCAGCCATTTTTTTATGCGCGATCATTTACTGCCGGTTGGCAGCTGCCATAAATTCGTAAAAAAAAAAAGGAACAGTCGCTGGACTGAAGGCCTTCAGTGAATTTACATCCTCTAGTATATGTCGGAGATTCGCGAACCGCACAATCGGGTAATTCCGTTGGGGATGGAAATCGTTCGCGGCCGCTCCCATAAAATGTTTGCAAATATGTGCATATGCTAATGCAGGGTATTCCGCATAATGGAGAGTGGATACGCGGCATAATGTTACGCCCTATGGTTACGTTCGGTACTAGCCGTTCTCGGTCTCGTCGAACTTTCGGAAATATTGCTACTCTCGCTCCATCTTACAGATTCATCTGTAACTACCGTTTGAGCTTGCAACGAACTACTACCGGTAACGTAAAGTCTCTCTAGATGGTAAACAGGGACGATTTACCTACCGTCGGTAACATTAACGTCAGAGATAATTTTCAGTATATTTATTTATCTTGTGAGTCATGATATTTAATGTACATATCAGATGAAAATTTAGGGATACACATTAGCAGCTTAGCGTAGAAAAATGATTAAATATCTATTGAAATCTTGAAAACGTTGAAAGTTCAATATGATACATTAGACATGTACATAAATATCCAATACCGTTAAGATCGATATATATTTATTTCAAAGGCTACAATTCATCTATATTTCTTCTAAATTAACAGAATATCTCTAATTTAAAAATATAATCATTTATCTGATCCGCTACAAGGCCCGAGTGTATTTTTCATATACAAAAAAAAGAACAAGGCTAAGCAACACAGAGTTCTAACGATTTTAATGAAACCCAGCCAGCATCTACAGAAAAAGTAAATAGAGTCCATGAGCCTCGAGTCCGACTTTAATTGAAGTCAGACAAACCCGCTCGAGAAGTTCCCAAAAACTTTAATTTGTCGTCGAACGTCAGTGAGAGACAACAGAAACGAAAGTTTTTTGATTTCCAAATAGAGGCGCTTTTTCAAGTAAAAGAACGATTGTCCAAGCAGTGTTGTTCGGTGGATGAGAATCTATGAATATGTCGCAAGGGCTGTTTACCGTGCGACCCATAACCGTACCAGGGATCCCAGGAAGCCGATTGACTTTCATGCGGCTGTATTAACATAGCATTGGGGGGAGTGCGAGCGCCCATAGAGAAACGTGGGATTTTATAGGGTGGCGCGTGTGCCTGGAATATCAAAATAATTACAATCGAATCCAAGCCAGTCAGCCATCCAGCTCACCAACCAGCCGTTTAGCCAGCCATCCAAAGTCAGTGAGCCTACCCTTTACCTAAAACTTCTTTCCTCGTCCCTAGAATTTGCCCCAAATTTACCCTCGAAACTTACCCAGAAACGTCTCCCCGCCATTTTCACTACTGAGAATAATCTCGACTGGTCCTACGTATCTTTACCAGTAGCATATATGTCTTATATAGCTATACAGTACTATTACCCCCAGTCCATTAAGACAATGGGGTAATTTCCCTAGATTGGAACGTTACGTTCAAGAGTGTAGAAAATGGTTTTAAAAGAAAAAACGCAGCATCGACACTCGGACTCGTGACGTAACGCGAGACAAGCTCCTGTCAGTCGATTTACGAGGATCGGTTTACGATCCGAAATCGCAGCTCTTTAGAGGTAAAGGTTCGGCCTCCGCACTCCGGGACACCAGCATAAAATTTACGTGCGCCGATCGTTGAGTTCCCGAGCGAGTTTTTCCCTATTCGAATTGGCAGCTTCGCTCCTGCCTGAGAAAATGTCAAGGTGGTGTAATAAAATTTATGATTATCGATATCAGGGAGATTCCGAAGGTCGAAAAGTCGCGAGCGACGTAAAACGATCCTTCCTTCGAAGGTACCCTCGTTACCCACAATTCCACCCTCGGCCGTGTTCGCCGTCTAACGATCCTCCCTTCCATCCTTATTAGCCGCTGAAAAATGTCCCTGCTTACTAGTGAAATCACGAGAGATTGGCTCCGACGAATTCGACATTTTCAACGTCCCATTTACGCTGGAAAACCTTCGGACGTCGTCGTAACGACCTTTTTACGTGACTTTAGACCTGGTATCAGTTGCGAGATATTAGTGGGAAAATAAAAATAAAGTAGAAACGATGGACTTCCGGTTGGAATGAAGATTTGGGGAACTCGCTTGTTTCCTGTCTTCCGGCAAACAAGGCAGTCGCTGCTGGAGTCAGAAGGAAGCCGGTGGGGGGTCTAGGTAAAACTTTCTCCACGAGAAAGGTGAGTAAACTTTTTTACGAGAGACAAGGAAAGGGTGTAGCTGTGTGTGTGTGTGAGAGAGAGAGAGAGAGAGAGAGAGAGAGAGGAGAGCATATCTTAAGCGCGTTTACCGGGACGCTTCCCGTTGACGTTTTAAACTTTACCAAAGGACGACCGACGCTCGGCGTCGGGACGCTAGCTATAATTTTGTGGTTTTAACATCACCGTAGCGCTTCGTGTTTCCCTGGATGCTTTTCGCCACGAGATAAAGCTCCGGGCTTCTCCGCGAGTCTGAAGTCACGGCGCAAAACAATACTGCGGAGTCCAAGAAATCTCCGAGATTAAAGTAACGTCTGCCAGCAAAGATTTTTTCTTTTTCATCGTATAATTTCCTTTGGACCTTTCTTTTTCTTTACTTTTCATATCTTTTTTTTTCTTCGTTTTCTGGAAAAAGAAAAAGAGCGATCGACGAAGGCCCGTCCATATCGACCTAGGATGATTCTCACTCTATCAATCCCGCTAGGGAAATCTCGGATCCGAGTCTGTTTGCGTGGCACTCGAGGTCCCATTGGGACACCAGGACGACCAAGTAGGAGAATCATGAGAATCATGAGAATCAAGACGAACGAAGTGCGAAGAATTTGGAAATTGGTAAAAAAACAAAATTCCACGAGAAACCGAAACTGTCATCGACACCCAGTCAGTCCCTTTTACCGATGATCCACATATTGCGCCATCTCGGCCAAAGACCTTCTTATCACTCCGAAATGTCTATTACGAGAAAATTGTAAACACGTAAAATCCGAGTGACTGGGTTATCTTGTCCGAAAACAAGGAAATACGCGTGTTTTCGCGTTCGCTTTCATGCGAATAGCTGGTAACAGGCAAGAATGCTCCAAGGGTCGGGACGTCGTTGTGACGTCGGTCGGCGTCGCTTTTTTTTTATTTTCTTTTCTTTTTTTTTTTTTTCAAAGCGCAAAAGCGCCTTGAATATATCGGCTGGCCGAATTGCCAATGATTTTTCGGTTTCTCAAGGCTCGGGGAAAAGTCCGTAGGATCGTAATATCGCGAAGCGAGGAGTCTCCGGAGAAAATATGTTTCTCGCAAAGTGATTTAAAGGGTCGAAGGGTCGCCGCCGGCCCTTGGAACTCAGCCTGATACACTGATATTGGCTTAAGCTTGCTTCTCCTTCTCTTTCGCCATTCCACCAGCTATAACAACGCTTGCAACCTCTTCGGCTACCACGATGGGACCCTCCCCCCTCCGTCCTCCCCTATTCAACCCCTCGCCTTTCGAACCTTCACGCCCTTTTGCCCTTTCAGACTCCTTCCGCGTTTCCCATACGAGAAAAGAACCTAATTCGAATCTCGGTGAATTTAATACGTCCCGAAAAAAAAAAAATTTCTACCCCTCCGCTGTCACCCTCAACCCCCCCCCCCCCCCCCCAA